GTCGCGGGCCGGCCCCTGACGTAGTTTGAAAATGAAAAAAAAAAGAAAAGAAAAGAATAAAAATAAATAAAAATTCGAAAAAATAAAAAAATATATTAAAAATTAGTTCGGGGTAAAATTATCACACGCACTCAGGGGTTTTTGCGATGTTCGGGATAAAATTGTCACAAAGTATCGCTTGGGGTTTTTTTGTCAAAAAATAGTTTGGGGTAAATGTGTCGCAAATGTACCGCTTTAGGGTTTTTCGTGATATTAACCCTTTTATATATATATATATATATATATATATATATATATATATATATATATCTTCTAATTTAATCCTATATTACCTGTTTTTGGTATAGCAATTGAATATCTCAACCACATATGGAACACATACCTTTTTGACTAATATTTTTGTTATGTCCATGGTCAATAGAACAGCAGCTTCCATTGTGGCACTACACTATTTATACGTCCATGATGACTATTTGATCATATATCAGGTCATCCAAATTTTGGATTATATGGGTAAGTATATTTCACCATCGAATTAAAACTATTTTCACTTTGAATGATCGACTGAATTAAGAAGGTTGTTCTTATTAGAATATTTGTTGCTATTAAACGTAAAATAATTTGTATAAATTTGGGGCTAAATATATAATTTTATGTGGTTGTGCACACATTAGAGTGATGTTTTCAGGCTTTTTCAGTCAGTCCTTTTTAATTTCTATTTTACAATGTATATTATAGGTAAATACGTGTACTTTTTTTTGTCGTGAAATTTATGTACTTAAATAAAAGATAATCTTTACTCTTCTTTTCCGGTTTAGAGTTTTGTCTATCTTCTGTACAATTGATGTCGGGGCTGAACATTTCCATATGCTTTTCAGATGTCAATTGTCGTACAGAGCTACGAAGTAAAAAAGAAAGACAGATGGGACAGTTCCGTGGAGTCGGGTCCCTCGATTATTGAGTGAGTAGCCTTCACGTGCACGAAGTCGTACAGCCCATCTGCAGCATCATGTTGACAAAACACGAAGCTTTAATAATTGCCAAGTGACCAAAGATGGCCAAACGGCAACTTTAACTCCTCACCATGGTTAACTTTTAACATGCCAAATAATAAAAAATTTTATTTTTTTATTTTCAAAATTAATATGAAAATAAAAATTCGTTTGTTAAAATTTTTGTAATCGAGCACAAATTTATAAAAAATTATTTTTAGAATCAGTTTTACAACAGAATCAAGAAGTAAAAAAAATGACTTCTTGATTTTGGAAATAATTTTTTCATTTATGATTATTCTTGATTTTCTTCTTATTTCTTGGTTTGTTGTTCTTCTTCTTCTTTCCGGCCTGCCACCGGCCACCGGCCACCAGCCACAAGCCAGGGCTGGCAAGGGCGTCGCAACCTTCGCCGATGGCCGGCGAGGGCGGCTTGCTGCCGCGATGGCGAGGCCTCGCCCAGCCATGGCTTGTGTTCTTTCTTCAACAATTTCCAATCTCTATCAGTAGGATTCGAACCTAGATGAAGTTCTGACCATTTGTCAGATAAAAAAGAAAAAATGGATGTAGGATTCCCAAACTCCATATATCTCAATATTTTAAAGAAAAATTACATACAAAAAGCCTCTCTCTCTCTCTCTCTCTCTCTCTATAAACTCGAAATATGTTTTGCACTCGGCATCGTTGCATCGTGCTTCGCTCTGGCCCATCAAGCTCTAATAAGTAATAAGAGTGAAGAAGGAGATGAGCTGTTGTAGATGGTTTTGCACAAAGAAACAAAGAGGAAGAACTAGACAACCTCTTCATCCACTGCAATGGTGGATGCAGATATTTCACATAGGGGTACGAGGGCATTTTCGATTTCTTCCGTCAATCAATATTCTTATTATTTTTTCCTATTTTATCTGTTAACGGTATAGAAATTGAAAATCACGGCCGTATATATACCTTTTTTACTTAGGATTTTTTATTAGGTTCACAGTCCATAAAAAAATAACCTCTATTGCGGCACTATAATATTTACACGAGCGTAATGACTATTTGATTATATCGGGTTATTAAAAAATTTTGGATTATCCGTGCAATAATCAACCCAATCAAGATACTACTTTATTTAGAATGTTTGTCGTTGCCGTTACTCGCAAGGCAATCCGTACATATTTGAGGCCAAATATATAATTGTATATGGTTGTGCGCACATTAATGTAATGCTTTTGGGTTTTTTTCAGCAATTTCGTTTTAATTTCTATTTTACTAGGTGTACAGGTAAATACATGTACTTGAATAAAAGATTCATAACGAGGCTAAGCCGGTAGGGACAGCGAGTAGAAAGAGATATAGGACAGTGCGGTGGGAGATGGGTTTGGGTCCCTCGGCGTGAGGTTGACATAAAATGAAGCATAATAATCGCAACGTGATCCACGATGTATCGAGTCGTATTAACACCACGATGGCCAGGAAGCAACTTAACTCCACCCTCGTTAACTCTTAACTTCACTTTGTTCTGGACCACCCTGGTAAACAGCTGGATAGCTCTCGCACTACGCAGGCGACGGGGTCCGAAGTCAATTTTAATACAAAAGAGATGGTGGAGTGGGCCCACTTGTTTTCGATCAGCGTCTTTGAGGTAAAGCGTAATCAAGTTGAGGCGTCTTTGACGAATTTTTCCACGAATATATTTCGTCGCTAAATTTTGCGACGCCGAATTGGCGACGAAATTTTTTTCGTAGCTAGTTAATTTAGCGACGAATTTTGCCAAATTTTTCGTGGCAAAATTCGTTGCTAAAACCTTATTTTTTTGTAGTGTAAATTAGCGACGAATTTTTCCACGAATAGATTTCGTTGCAAATTAGCGACAAAAATTGAAATTTTTCGTCGCTAAATTTTGCGATGCCGAATTGGTGACAAAATTTTTTTTGTCGCAAATTCATTTAGCGATGAATTTTGCCAAATTTTTCGTGCCAAAAATTCGTGGCTAAAACCTTATTTTTTTTGTAGTGTTCCCTCGCACTCATTCTAGCCCAACAAGGGAAGTACATTTCTAATTCTATACTATAAATCTCCATGGTCATGGTACGTTATATCTTTGAAAACCAGAATGGGTCGATAAATGTTCAAACATAGTTTGTATTTCTGAGCATGCTTCACTAAATACTAGTTTCACTCTAAGTTAGCTTAGATTGGTATATTGTCCTCGAACATACTGGTAGATTCTCCTTTGATGAATGTAGATTATGACTTTTGGAATTACAAAAATTTGGCCAATTTTCCATTGCCTTCTAAGCATTTATGCATTAGCAGATACTAATACTGTTCCAAGCAGCTTTATTATATTTATTTTCCGATTTGGAGTTTGCAATGAGAAGACGTTGGCTTTGTGAATCGTTACGTTGCTTTTCCACAGAATGAATTGGAAAGAGAGAGAGGAAGGGGGGGGGGGGGGGGGTTAGGCTCAACCATTTAAAAACGTTAAGATATATACGATCCATGAAATAGGCTCATGTTAATATGGAGTTAACGATCCCGTTAACATACAAATACACTTTATATTCACTTATCCCATCAATGAGGTGTAATTACTCAATGAAATTGGGTTTTTTTGGAACTATTAAAGCAATGTTTTGAGAAATAAATTATGATTATGCTTAGCAATTTTTATAAATTAAAAAAAAGGAAGAATGAGAAGGTATCTTCTATGAATCTTCAGTTTCCTACAATTGAGTTATGCATGTAGTTCAAAACCAATGTATATTCACAAGATTACCCCCCCTCCCCCCCATGTAGTTCAAAACCAATGTATATTCACAAGATTAATAGCCTTAGATGTCTCTTAGAAACCAACCCCCCCCACCCCCCAAAAAAAAAAAAATAGATGCCTCTTAGATATGAATAGAGTATTTAGGATTCTTCGAGCAACCGATTTATCTCCATCAGGTGCAACGGTCCCTTCATCCCACACACATCGGGTAATGGAGATATACAAGTCTGTACTATCGGTAGTGACCCTATGAAAGTGCACAAATATGATTATTCAATTGCATGACTTGATTTTTCCTTATATCCCATATTGAACATCTTTTAGTTGCCACACTTGATTTTTTTCATCTCAATTTCTATTCAAAGTTGATATTGGCAGCTTATTGTTTAAAGCGTGTGAGCTGAGCCCATCCCATCTTGGTTCTTTTATAATTCCTGGGAAGGTTTGGACAATATTTCTTTTGCACTAGGCTTTATTACTGTTTTCAATTCTAACCTTAATCCCACATTATATATGTTTTTCTATCTAAACGAATAGAATTAAAATGTAATCTGTGTGTAGTTATGAGACTGAAAAACTAGCTTTAATTAGCTTAAATATCGAGATTAATAGGAAAATTGAGTGCAAGTCTCATGGATCTTGTCTTTGTTACATTTTGTCAAATAAATTGGGCATTGGGTTGGCTTACACACTTGCCAAATATGCAGTTGCTACGGGAGAATGGATCTTCCATGCTTGATTGGAGAACTATAATCGTTGCTCAAGTTAGATCTATCGAGGTCGCAAGTAGTCAACCTACCCAATTCAATCAGAAATTTGAGGAAATTAAGAGTAATTAGGATAGAATATATAACGACATACAAGTTTCCTGAGCTAATGCTATTGGGTCGGTGGCTCTAATTGAAGAATCGTATGCTGCACATTTTCGAATCGCGGCCAGATTGTCAAGATTGGAACTTTAAGAAGTTGCAACATTGCCCTTGTTACCTTTGTTGTCACTTGAATTTTTTAAGCAAAATCGAACATACGTTTTTTAAAAATAAATAAAGATAAATAAAAAGAAACAAAATAAATAAATAATAATAAGATAAATAAGAAATAATAAACAATAACTAAAGCGTCGGCCTGGCAAGCTTTGCGAGACCCTTTATTTTTTACTACTTACAACTAGAAAATATACTCTCTCTCCTGCGCTTGGTCCTCCCGTCCAAACCAAACGAAACATTACTTTCCGGAGTTTCACCTAGAAACAGCAAACGGGGAAATCCTGAGGACCATGCCTCGGACTCACCGGCCTCCGATGTCGACTTCTCTGCCGGCTTTCACTCCGGCGGTTTCACCACTACTTCACCTGCCCAGACATTGACCACCAGGGCTTTCTGCCGGGGGAAGAACACTCGCACGACGAAAAACTCCACCTCTCCTGCGAATGGGGTGGATTGCCGCTGGGGACGCTGGCGGCAATGATGGTGGGGATAGGGATTGGGGGACTGATTCTGCTTGTTGGGACCGCGGCCGGAGCAAAAGCCGGCAGAGCTGTCGACATCGGAGGCCGGCGAGTCCGAGGCATGTTGCTCGGGATTTCTCTGTGTGCTATTTCTGGGGGAAACTCCGAACGGTTATGTTTGGTTCAGTTTGGACGGAGCAGCACCAGAGACACCGCGACTGTGGATAAGGCTTGGTGCGCGTTGTGGCGAAGCAAGGTGGCGCGGCTGTGGCCTGTTAGTGTTGCCGCTGTGGCTGTGGCATCGAACCGACGTTGGGGAAGGCAGCAAGCAACTCGTCTGGATGTGTAGGCGAGACGACCAATGTCAAGAGGGTCGAGCAGCACGAGTGAGATCGGTGGGACTGCACAATGGGGTCAAGGTAATAGCATGACAAAACCCAGGCCGTATTACTTCTTGCTCTCTCTTTCCCTCTCTCTTGCTCTACTTCTTGTTCTCTCTCTCTCTCTCTCTTACTCTCTGCTTTTACTTTCTCCTCCGTAAAAGCTCAAGCCTTCCCCTGTTCCTCCATTTATAGATGGAGAAGAGACGGAGATTATTGTCAGCAATAGACCTCCCGAGATAGTAGCCAACTTTTACTCAACTGACTAACATCTCCTCCTTCGGAATCGTTCAATCCACCGGAATCGTTCAAAGTCCTCCGCGACCAGATTATCCATTCTCTCTCTTGGTTGACCGATTCTCTCTCTCTCTGCGATTTTCTCTTTGCTAAATCTCTCTCTCTATCTCGCTCTATCTCTTCACTTGGCTGAACAAGTTCGAAGAAGGGGAAAAGCGATAGGTTCAACCATGGCCGAAGCTGAGTGCATCTTCTTTCTCTAGTTTTAAACTTTGAATCAGGCTTGGAATCCTTGTCCTCGGTCTCATTCTTATGATTTTCAGTGTTTGCTTCCATCATTTCTAATTCCAGCGATCCTCTTGCCACCGCGACCCATCATCTGCTCAGCCATTCCAGCCGCGGATCTTTTCTTCATTAGCAATAGGTAACTTCTCTTCAGCGAAGTCCAGCAGCTACGGCCATGGAGGATCTTCATTCTCTTTCCTCACCTAGTTTGTAATCTCACCTTTATCTAATTCGATTCTCTGTTCTTTTCTTTTTTTCTTTTCACTGATATGTCTGGTTTTATGCTGCAGCACTAGAAGACAACTTAGTTTCCTTCGATTTACGGTCGATCCAGTGGAAGAAACAGAGCTAACTACGAAGCTCCGAGATTCTCCATCTTCGCTCTAACCGAAAATACCTCACTGCCGATTCAAAGTTCATCGGTGGTCTGTGTCGGTGTTCTGTTGATATCAGCCACGCCTACCACGTGATTGTGTCTTCTCTCATCTAATTCCAGAATCCACTGCAATTCATTCTAGATTTGTTGATCGCTTTTGTTCTGTTTTGTTCTACCTTGGTCATTACGTTTTCGCTTGCTATGCCGAGTCGATGGATATGTCATCGCGCTACAACTTCGAAGAAGAGAATGATTTTCAGATATTGAAGTGCAATCACTCCATCGTAAAAAAGAGAGAACTCACTGCGAAGGAGTTCTGAGCTAATCTCCCTCTCGGTATCCTCTGTTCCCTATTGCAGAGTTTTTCCTCTGTTAAGAGTGGAAGAACAGAAATTTTCTATTGCGAAGCGAAGTAATAACGATGGGATATTAACCCAACAATATGATGTTAGGAAGAAAAATGAAAATTTTCAAATCATGGCTCAAGACGAATATAGGTCGCATTAATGTGAAGCTAGTCCGACCGCCTTGGGTCCCTCTTATTTCCCTCCATTTCCTCCCACGTCTAAGAGGATTCATTTCGTACGCCCACGGGAAAAAAAATTTCTACCATTCTTTTCACTGGATCAATCGACATGGACTGTTCAACGTTGCCTGGCTACACTTGTTAGCGCGAGGATAATTTTGGTTTTAGAAATTTGGATGTCCATGCCAATTCATTTCGGCATACTTGTGCCCAATTATTTATCATTACAAATCCTTGTTTGACAGAAGATCCCCATCCTTACCACTTTAACGTTTTGTTTTCCATCGCATAAATATTTTCAACCTGTCCTCTCTTATTTAGATGAGTGTAATTATTCAGAGAATAGGAAGCAGAGTTCCATGTTGCCTCGTGGGATAACATGACCGACAAAGCAGATCGCAATAGCAGAAAGTCAGTGTTTATGTAGAGAAACAACGACAAGCAAGTTAAAATACAGTAGAGGAATTCTATCGGAAATTCACCCAAACTAAAGATCTCGATATGCCATGTCCAAACTTCCGAGTTCAACGAAAGAAGAAATCGAGTGCAGAAAACAAAGTTATGAGATGCAAAGAAAATCTCCATGGTCGAACCTGACTTTCTCTCAGTAATGATTAAACTCAAATTGCAAGTTCAAAATTTCAAGTCCGAACCCAAAAGGATACACGAAGAAAGAAGGAACCGGAGCCAATTCCGATTTGCATGGCTCACTGCATCAGAGGGATCGAGTCAACTAAAATCTACACTAAGAACGAAATAATGCATTTCCCAATGATGATCATCGATGCGTCATGCGTACCGATCAATGAGGCTAATTGAGCTAGTTTTCACAAAACAAATTTGTGAATTCAGAACTCGACGTGCCATTCTGATATAAGCAAGATCATCTAGAGGCAGTTTCGCTAGATAGCAAATGACCGAATAAGAAGAAGCAACAGAAGGATACCACCTGGAGCTTAAATTCATGGAAACGAGCGGCGATGGCAATGATATGCATCCGGTGTGCTTGAAAGTCTATGGGCAGGGACATTGCTAGCCAAAGACCACGAACGTGACTTGGAATCTCTGTCTCCTCCGAGCTCGGCGTCGGGGCAGAGTGAGCGCTCCTTTCTTCGGTCAGATGGACGGCGACGTCCACACAGGGCGGCGGAGGAAGGGAGAGAGAAGGCCAAGCCGGGCTGAGATGAGAGGAGCAGAAGCGGCAATGCGGTCGAGCGAGCTCAACAACGGCGTCGTTCAGCGAACCATGAGAAAGAGAGAGGAAATAGCTGAAATGTTGCTGATGGGTCTGGCCGCAGATCAAATCACTGGGCTGCTTCTTGTGGGCCACACAAGTTGGACCAAATTGGCCTTTTTCATTTATTTTTTATTTTATTTGTTATTCAATTTTTTGTTCTTTTTACTACCATTCATTGGCTTTTACATTCTTTTTTTTTATTACAAAAATGTATGTTTAAATTGCCGACTAAAATTCAGGTGTTGATGATTTCGAATATATTTACCCTAATATTTGAAGAAGAATATCATGCCATCGCAAACAAAGTGTAGGACGTTGTATGTTTTGTTGCTTCAAATCTTTACTTACTAAAGACCAGAGTTGTATCCTGATTGATGGGAGAAATGGGCTAAAAAACGGGGCAATCCAGTCGAATAGAATCCGGTATGTGTTGATGGAATATCAACCCATTTAAAATGACCTGATTTGTGAGCCCGATTATATTGAACCCAAGTATGATCTCGCCCATTTGGCGGGTTGAAGTGCCATAAATCACGATGAAAGATTAAACGAAGAGCAGTACAGGGCAAAAGAGAGAGAGAGAGAGAAAGAGCAAGATGCCAGAGACTTCTTTAGTGAAAGATGATTCTTTGGCTTTTTTCTTTTCCTGTTTGAGGATTCTTTTTCACTTTATTTAAAGTTTCCAAAGTAAAAAAATGATGTTTGAGGATTCTTTTTCACTTTATTTAAAGTTTCCAAAGTAAAAAAAAATGATGTGATGGTTAAGGATTCCAATTTTGTTTGTAAAAAGATATGACCGCTAACTTGCTTGTCAAATTATTCATAAGTAAGTTATCATCGTTATCAGGATTTTACCAATGTCTAAATATATTAGTAAACTATCAACTCTTTCGCAATTTTACGAGCATGTTTAATAATATATCAATAATGTAACAATATTACTCATATTCGATTAATATAGTGACCGACCAACTTCTTTAATAATTTGCAAGTGTTTTTAGTAAAATACCAACTCGATAAGGAATCTACCAACCTCCCAATAAATCGATGAATTATCAAGTTTTTTCAAGTAGGCAATTATTAAAAGGTTAATACCACGAAAAACCTCAAATTGGTACACCTGTGACAAATTTACCCCAAACTAATTTTTTTAACACCAAAAACCCTAAATTAGTACATCTGTGATAAATTTACCCAAAACTAATTTTTTGACCACTAAAAACCCTTAACTTGTATACTTGCGACAAATATACCCTCTATTAAATTGGATTAATATCACCAAAAAACAAAAATTGTTAAATCTATGACAAACAGAAAGGTAAAACCCTAAACTGGTATACCCATCAATTGTCATATGTCATTCAACTTAGCAATTTGATGGTAAAATTTAACGAAAACTAATGGAGGGTAAATTTTTTGGATTTTTGGCGGTCAAAAAATTAGTTTGCAGTAAATTTATCATAAGTGTACCAATTTATGATTTTTTATGGTATTAACTCATTATTAAACTAATGAGATGAGATAAAAAAAAAAAGAAGGAACAAATAAAGATGAGATACAGAACATAGGATTAAGACATGACAAAGAGTCCACAAAAAAGCAAATATGTTGTGGGCCCACAGAACTCGTCGACTAAGGGAAGCACGAACTCATTTTCCATTTTCCCTCTCTTTCTTCCCACCTTTAAGAGGAATATATGTTGTGGGCCCCACAGGAACATTTTTGTCTACCATTCTTTTCACTTCCCTCGCACTTATTCTTAGCCCAACAAGGGAAGCATTTCCTATGGATCTTTATCTCCTCTCCTTTTCACCCAATATATGGAATGACCCGATTCGATTCTTATATGGGTCATTCTCTCAAAAGAAAAATTAAGGTGGCGAATATTTGGAGTGGCTCCTTATCCATATATTAGATCTTCCTTTTGACGTGAAATTTGAAATGTACAAATTCCCCTACAAATATTGATGTCCTCGTCAATAACAATTGTGTATCGACTTGACTATAGATGCTATGATAATAACGAAAAAGTTGAGATGAGCAGTAGATGGTATGCATAAAGTGCTAGAATACATGTATGAGTTGTGTTGAAGAAGTTACACATCAGAGAATTGATGTGGTATTGAGCAATTAATATATCACAGTTTACCCATAACTTATTGGCTTAAACTTTTGAGTGAATCTGGGTCCAACTGGATATATTGACGGGCTCGGACTTAAATTCTCTCTTGGAAACTTCCCCGGGTAAAGGTATCAAGCTTTTGCTTCTGGCTCCAAATAAATGGTGTCAGAGCCGATAATTGATTAGTGCTCCACCCAAATTTGTTCCGGTGTTTGGTGAATATTTCAAGAAAAAAATCTCATGATCGATGCTTGTTTCAAGTGGAAATTGCCTTCATGATTGGTTTAGCAAGAAGAGATCATGGCCGGTTGGTCTGGCGATGCGAGATAGAGACCATAGGTAATGCAATCCCAAGTTAGCTGTTGATGATGGTTGCTGTGCATGGTAGCAGGTGCATTGCAATGTCTTGAAGATTCAAGTTGAGATAAGTTGGTGCAGAATAATACTTGAATTAAGGAGGAGCAAAACCTAACACTGAGCTCACACGTGAGAGAAAGATTGTTAGAATACACTCACATAGAGAAGTCCTATATCGAAGAATTGGTGTGGTATTGAGCAATTAATATATCACAATTTGCTCATAACTCATTGGCTTAAGCTTTTAAGTGAAGGTGGGTCCAACTGGATATGTTGACGGGCTCGAACCTGGCTCCCTCTTGGCGATCACCCCGGGTAAAGGTATCAAGCTTTTGCTGCGGCCTCCTAACAAAAAAAAAAACAAAGTGGATTAACAGGACGACGTTTTCATCCTTTGCAATGGTCTATGGAGATGTTTTATCCAGGAGCGAGCGGTTCTTTTAATTTCTTTGTGATCAATATCTTGTAATTGTTTATTTTATATTGTTTGTTTTTCAGTATAGAAATTGAATATCACGGCTCGGTATGGAATCTATACCTTTCTAGCTAGAATTATTAATTAGGTCCACGGTCGATAGAGAAACAGCTTCCATTCCGGCACTACAATAATTATACGTGCATGATGACTATTTGATTATAAAATTTTGGATTATATCTGTAGGTATGTTTTCCCATCAATTAAAACTATTTTTTTTTTGGGTGTGATCGATCGAACTGAGAGGTTGCGTTGTTTAGAATATTTGCTGCTGTTATTCATAGAACAATATGTACAAATTGGGACTACATATGTCCCTAAATATGGTTGTGCACACATAAACGCGATGCTTCCAAGCTTTTTCAACAATTCCTTTTGAATTTCTATTTTACTAGGTATATACGCAAATAAATGTACTTGAATGAAAGCTTTTTCTTTACTCTTCTTTTCTGATGACTGAGTTTTGTCTATTTTCGGTGCAATTGATTATTTGCTTGGAGATGCGGGGGCTGAATAGTTTCATATACTTTTCACATATCATCGTACAGAGCATCTAAGTAAAAGAAAGAAAGGTATTTACACATCAACTATTCAAATAAAGAATATGTCTGTGAGAGCCTTCTTGGAGCACTGAATTCTCCACTCACTCCATCCTCTTTTCTCAAATTGACCTCCACCGAACCTTTCAGAGAATATTTCGACTTCAACAAATCCCACTACCTCCTCCCAGAATGGCCGAGAATCGTGTGTCAAGTACGTGGCCA